GGAGAGGTCACCTGGGCCCAGGCCAGACCCCCATCCACCTGCCTGGGGTCGGGGGTAGGGTGGGGGGAGACGGCAGGGAGCACCGTTCTGACCTGCGCAGCCGGGCTAGGAGGTCCCCCAGTGACTCTTGGAAGCGAGAGGCCAGAGTCGGCCTGCCTCTACCTTCCCCAAGCTCCGGCTCTGCTTCCAGGAACAGGCTGCCCACCAGCTGTGGGCAAGAGGGGTCTGGTCCCGTGATGCAGCCTGCCCCTCTCCCCCACAGCCCGGGGGCAGAGTGGGGGGAGCAGGCCCAAGGTGCCAGGGCTTGAGGGCGAGCCCCAGGGGCAAGGGCAAGAGTGCCCAGAGGAGGAGGAGTTAGGGACAGAGCGGCGGGTGGTCGGGGGCTGGCAGGTCACCTGGAGCTGGCTCTGGCCAAGCATTTCTGCCACAGCCAGGTCGAGACGGTCCCGATTTCGGGTTAAGAACTTGTGAACCTGCAGGAGACCACGGCAAGAGTGGGGTGAAAGAAGCCTGGTTTGGAGGTCAGGCCTTTGCGTCCTTTGTCCCCTACTCTGCCCTGTCCCACTGGTTCAGAGACGGACCTTGTTAAGTTGCTGATGCCGAGCTAGCCCTGGGGCCCTTCCCTCAGCCGCACCACGCCCGTCTCACTCCCAGAGCTTCAGCATATGTTTTCACAGCGGGGAGTGCACACGCCTCCTCCATCTTCTGTTTCCATTTTGTTTCTCACCGCCCCCCCATATTTGATTGGTTCTTTCAACGTGCTCCTTCTCCAGATGAAACTTCAGAATGGTATTATCAGAACCTGCCCCCCTCCTCCCGTTAAACACCCCACTGTGTGTAGGGGTGTCGATTGGAATCGTATCCCGTGTCCAGATGAACCCGGAGGGGACGGCAGGATTAAGGTTCCCCACGGGAAGGAGATGTGTCTCCATTTCAGGGTTCCCCTCTGTGACGTTCAGTGCGGTGTCTCGTGTCTTCCTTGAACCCCGGGCTTGTTCAAGGTAGGGGTAGTGTTTATTTGACCAGCCAGAGCTGCACCCCTCGACTGGCCCAGCTCAAAGCAGCCCCATCCTCACACAAGACTCCTCGCCACCCCTCAGAAGGTCCCCTATGGGGTAGGTGGCCCCTCTCCCCAATAGTAGGGGGCTAGGGGGTGAGGGCAGGAAAGTCTATTCAGTGAGCTCCAAACCCACTGTCATCGAGTCGATGCCGGCTCACAGGGACCCTGCAGGACAGGGTGGCACTGCCCCTGTCCGGTTCTGAGACGGCCACTCTTGACAGGAGTAGACAGCCCCATCTTGCTCGCTCAGAGTGGCTGGCAGTTTTGAACTGCTGGCCTTGCAGTTTGCAGCCCAGCACAAAACCACAACGCCACCAGGGGTCCTTTGGGCACCAGGCCAGGCTTCGCGTGCTGTGTAGCATCGAAACAACATTGCGGGTTCGTTCTCATTCCAGTTTTAACAGATGGGAACACGGAGGCTCCGCAGTGATTTACACTGCCCGAGGCTATCAGAACCAGGCCCCGTGCTTGTACTCAGCCCCCCCTGGGTGGAGGGTCCCAAGACTTCAGACCTGCACATCCAGAATTCAATAATCCCGCTCAAACCTGGGTGGGGCCACCACAGAGGGACAGTTGGACAAGCCCTGGAAGGGCCCCGCTCACCACTCCTGTCACCTGTCCAGGTGACTCGGCTTGTGGAGGGGAGAGCAGGGTCACCTCAACCCCTCATGACGCCCGGAGGCGACAGTACCTGGTAGGTGACGGTCCCAGCGTAGTGCTGCACAGAGAAGATGGGCAGGGGCAGCTGGGGCTTGGCGTAGCAGGGGTGGTTGCCATGGTGATAGTGGCACTTCTGGAGGAAGGTGTGGTCCGTGGCCTGATGGGGTGGACGGCTTCCGTTAGGTCTCCCATTCGCTGTCCCCGCCCTGCCTGGGCTTCCCACCAGGGGCCCGGTGGACCATATGTCCTTTAATATAAATAGCATCTGTAACTATTACAAAACCACGCTGTCATTGAGACTCATAACGAGTCTATGGGACAGGGTGGAACTGCCCCGTGGGTTTCTGAGACTGTCACTCTTTACAGGAGTAGAAAGCCTCGTCTATTATCCCTCAGAGGGGCTGGTGGTTTCGAACTGCTGAACTTGTGGTTTGTCAGTCCAACTCTTAACCCGCTGTGCTATCCGGGCTCCCAGAAAAGAAGCATCCCTAGGTCTCCGCCTTTACCAGGGGCATGCCTGCATCCGAGCGGACCTTATCCTAGCATCCTAACACCCAAGACCTTCGGATCTGACCGGCGCTTCCGACACAGAAACCTCTTCTGTCATAGTAGATTCGGTGGCTCACACAGGACTTCTGATGAAGGTCACCCCAATCTGCTTGGTTCTCCCTCAGCTGATGGCACTGTGCGTGGTGGGGGGTGTCTGTCAAGTTGACCCCGGCTCACCGCGACCTGATAGGATTCCTGAGGCTGTCGGTTTGACGCCAGCTGCCCTGCCTCCAACCACTGACCTCGCCTCAGTGCTTCACCGCTGCACCACCAGGGAGGGGAGCGTGAAGGTGATGAAAAACTCGGGGTCGAGTAAGGGTGATGGGTGTGCACATGAAGTGTCCATACGGCCAATGTTTTGTTTCATAGAGGTTCCCCACAGCTCTTTCGTTACACGAGGAAGTAAAAGGGGCGACTTCGAGGTCTGGTGGGCAGGGTTTCTAGTGCCCTAAGCAGTCAGCATGCCGGGGATCTCACACGGGCAGTGCCACCTGTCCCATTGACTCGAGGGCAGGACGTTCCTTGGTTTGACATGTGACTCAGTGCGGCCCTCCCAGATGAGGACAGGGCTCCATGGGGCTGGGAGTAGCTTCCGGGAAACAGTAAAGAATAAACGCTCGGAGTGCCTGCCCCGGGGCGCGAATGAGCACCATGAAAGTAGCAGCTAAACCAGGGGTTCTCAACCTGGGGGTCGTGACCCCTTTGGGGGGGTGTCAAACGACCCTTTCACAGGGGTCTCCCAATTCATAATAGTAGCAAAATGACTGTTGAAGTAGCAACGAAAATAATTTTATGGTTGGGGAATCACCACCACAGGCGGTGAAAGGGTCGCGGCATTAGGAAGGTTGAGAACCAATGAATTGTAAGAAGAGGATGCAGAATGAGAGGGAACCGTTGGGTAGAGAGAGGGGCACGAGGGAGGGAAGTCCCGGTCGGGCCCCTGCTGGCTGGAGGCCTAAGTGGTGCCCCGCCACAATCAGAAAGCAACCACTCTCCATGACCACCCTGACCAGCAGGGGTCCCAGCCCCGCTTCTGTAGCCAGGTACCTCACCTGGTGACCATCCAGAGATGGGCTCTGAACCAGGGCTCTCTCCCGATGGCCACTGCCTTCCTGGGTCTCTGGATTATGTAACCCTGATGACCATCCTGTCCTCCTGCCCCTGCCCCTCACCTGGGACAGCCAGGTCTGGGCATCCAGGATACTCAGGAGGCTGTGGGGCTGGTCTGCAAGCAGGTCCAGGCAGGACTCCCGAGGAGGCTGGGGAACGGGCACCCAGGACAGCAACTCCTGCCGACACTGCTCCTGGGACAGGCAG